AATCTTTTGAAGTGTTTTGCTATAAAGGGGAGAATTAATGGATTAGCTAGAGATGCATGTGGCATCAAGAAGGTTTTTGTGGTTAGAGATGGGAAACATGGCAGCTTATTTATTTGCAGGTGGGAATGATTTAGTGATGTGGGGAAATTGATAAAGAAAAGAGAGAGAGGACAATTGCTGAAACTATTCTTGCAAAGGCAAGAGGGGCTACGAAGTGGTATACAGTGGAGGGTTACCCTTAGGTAAGATTGAAGAAAATACATACAGTAAGGAGATAGACCATGTGTGGAAAATTCACTGTATCTAAGTCATGCTTGGATAATTAGTGAGCACAATTTGGCTTTACAGTGGCCCCAGCCCTCTGTGCTTGTGAAACTTATGGCCACAAAACCTTTACATACCTATTGATATGGCCCTTCAGCCATCTCAGCTGACAATTGAATAGTTTCATATATTGAAATTATGCATGGGCATTATTTTAATGATTAGCCAGCTTACATTTAAGTTAAGTAGCTAATCCTTACTGATTTCTTTGTACAATCTCATTTAATCATTTCACCAAAACTGTAAAGTTGGAGCTATTATTACTAATCTTCAGTTAGCAAATGAGGAAACTGAGTCTAAGGAAAAATAAAGAACTTGTTCAGGTTCATATGTTAACTTGCTGCTTTTTGACACTGTAGTTCATTCCTTAACTATAGGTTATATTGGTTTGCAGAAATATTTGGGCCTGTGAAATGTCTCATTTCTGAATGCAGCAAAGTAACAGTGGATATGATTTAGTTTTCTTAAGTGATTTTACTGAGATTAAATACTTTTGATATCTTTGAGCTTTACCCACCACTCTTTTTTTCCCCCTCCCAAAGACCAAGAATTTAAGAGCCTTTTACTGAAATGTTTGAAGATACACTAGAGGAAAATTTGGTTGACTGGCTGTGGGTAGTCAGAGTGTAATCATTCTTGTGGTAGTTTTCCTTTATATGTCAGATTTTAAATTAGAAGTTGACAGTAAGATGAAGTGAGTAAGAGCATAGGAGCATGATCTTCAGCTTCAAAATGATCAGAATTGAAATTTTCCTTTGGTTCTTCGCTGGCTAGTGACAGGCCGTCTAGGATAATAACACCTACCTACTGGGAGTGTTGTGAGAATTAGAGATGATATATTCTTGAGCACAAAGGGCAGTCTAGTGTTTATTCTGATAATAAATGGCAGATGACTGGGTAGCTACTGTGTCAGTTCATCAATTTACCGTCAGGGGAAGATAGCCTGAGAGATTACTAAGTGCATCTTATCCCTTGATTACCTTAATTTCCACCTGGAAATGGACTCACTCAAGGTTTAATTTCAGAAATGTTTCTTATGTGCACATTTTAGCAATGATTTACCATTAGCATTCGAGATGACAAAGCTCTATAGCAAAACACCATCTTTATTTTGAATAAAATTTCAGAATGTGCTGTCTGACAGGGAACATGGGACTGTCCCAGGGAATCTGGAATGTATGGTTTACTGTCAGCGTGAGGCTCTGGGTATCCTGCTGGGTGAGGAGGAGCCTCCCTGAATTCTTCTTAGATTTTCTAGTTCTCCAGACTCAGGAGGGTCCCTCAGCCCGGCCTGTGCCTTCTTGCAGTCTGGGACCACTCGGGGAATGACCACCTGATGGCTTAGGCCCACTCCTCCGGGGAGTGGGCCTAAGCTGGCAATCAGACATCCCTTGGCAGCCCGGGAGCCCTCGGGGGATGTCCACTTGCCAGCGGGGAACAGGCTTAGCGGCAGTCAGACATCCTTAGTGCTGCTGAGGAGGCAGGAGAGGCTCCCACCACCATCACTGTACTGGCAGCTGTCAGCCTGGCTTGTGGCTGAGCAGAGCTCCCCCTATGGGAGCACGCTGACCGCCAGGAGGCAGTTCCTGCATTGAGCGTCTGCCCCCTGGTGGTCAGTGTGTGTCATAGTGACCAGTGATTCCCAGTTGCTCTGCTGTTAGGGTTAATTTGCATATTATCCTTTTATTATTAGGATATTTAAATGCCATTTAACAAAGAAAAATCAACCAAAAAAATGAGTTCGCTTGTCACCTCTGACATGCGTGTCATAGGTTCGCCATCCCTGGCCTAGACTTTGGTTGTGTGAATGCCCTTCAGTGGAGATAGGAATTCCATACATTAAAATAAAGCATTACTTTCTCCTTCCCATGGAACAGTAAATAGATGGTTAGAGAAAGAGTTATAACTGGGATTATTGGTGCAGCCAGATGCTCAAGGGCCTTGGATAGTAACTCTGAGTGTGCAGCAGCCTAGAAAAAGCAAAGGTTCTCTAGTTATCTTCATTACCACCTTAGCACTCACAAAATACATTCTACTGACAAGAGACCCTGGCAAGTACAAAATCAGCTATTAGAGTACATTGGGAATGCCAGGTTGAGTGGGGAGTTCGTATCCTCAAGGAATTAATTGGGGGTAAGCTTTGTCAGTCCACATCCAAGATCTGAATTCATCGTTCACTATGGGAGCTTTCCCCTCCATCACTCCACTCCTGTGACACTTGAGTTCGTTCCCTAAAATTTCAACTTCTTTCCCTCAACCAGAACTTACAAAAGTACTCACCAGAGATTTGGTTGTAGGGAGACCAACCTCTGTGTCTGTGCTTACAGTACTACCTAGTACTGGGCCTTGGCTATGACAGGGAGCACCTAAGGTACAGGAATTATGCTGCTGTGGCAAAGTTATGGTCCAGTGTTGGAGCTGGGCTTCACTTTTTTCTGTGATAGGACAGTCCTTACTCCTCTGCCTAGTAAATATTTACAACCAGGTTACTTACTCTGTGCATTTTTAGAGAGACATTTTGTTTAAATCCATTGGTCATTATAAGTGGCATAATGATTACAAACATGCACTCGAGAAATTTCCAAGTTGCAAAATGACTTCATTTGTCTTCTGGTTCTTTATACATTGTTTGAAGTTTGTATTTGAAAATCAGAAAAGATAATGCAAACTGCTGGGGTTCTTGTCCCAGCATCAAGAAGGGTTCAGGAATCTGGAGAAGGCTGCGCGTAGATGACAGGAATCCAGAGACTAATAAAGAGTCCGGAGATGAGATATAATTTTGAAAGGCATTGGGGGTCAGAGGACCTTCAGCTAAAGGAACTGAAGACTCCCTCCCTGTCTAGGACCCTTGCTTTTATTGACACAATTTGTCCTAAGGCAAGGTGGAGATAATACACTTCAAAGGGTAAGGTTTCAAAGGGTACAGAAGCATTGTCAGTTTGGGGGAATTAGCCTACAGCTGTTCAGGTGTTTGGCCAGTAGGAGGCAATAACATGTAGATTAAGATGCCCTTTAACTGTCTGGCAGCCACAATCAGTTTCCTATTCAGGTTTGGGGAAATGCCTTTAGCCATTTCCAACAGGTGACTACATGTGTGACTCAACACATGTAGTTCATAAATTTGTTCTCATCAACCTTTTGATGAAACTCTTGAAATTATGACATGCTGGAATTGGTCACCGGCAGCAAACATAGTGATTCTATAAGGATCCTTAAGAGCATAGATTGTAGGTTCATTTATGGGTCTCAAACACTATTGAATGACCTACACACATTTCCTATAAGTGAACAGTATTTGTGAATCATATAATTTTCTAAGGTACTTTAACACACTACAGGACTAGTCTTAGATTAGAATTCTGAAAGTGGGGAACTCGTTATGTTCTCAAGTTTCCCTTTCCATGCTTTCTCTTTTCATTGTTTTTCTTTCTTTATTCTTTTTAAAAATATATATTTGTATTGATTTCAGAGAGGAAGGGATATAAACATCAATGATGAGAGCGAAAACTTGATTGGCTGCCTTCACGTCCCCTACTGGGGATCAAGCCCAGAACCTGGGCATATATATGCCCTGACCAGGAATCTAACCTTGACCTCCCTTTTCATAGGTCACATAGGTCAATGTTCAACCACTGAGCCATACTGGTTGGGCTTCTTTTTTCATTGTTGCCCCCTCATTTCCTTCAGTATCCACTGTCTTCTGCCTTCAAAGCCATTTCTATAAAGGGATAAATGGTTCATTCAGTGTGTTATCTTTCCCAAGGATGCTTGCATTTTAGCAGACATAATATTCACATTAAGTGAATATTAAGTTCTAAATTTGAAATTCAGTTTAACATGTAAGTGGCCACCCATGTTGTCAGGTGGACCCCAAATACGCTTTCATACTCAAGTGTCTGTCCCATGTAAGGAATACTGTGCAAAATGACAATGCCATTTGCTCTTGACTAACTAATATCTGCGTATTCAACTTATAGATCATCATTTCTTCTTTTTTACCTATTTCCTCATTTCCTGAAAATGTTCTGTGATTTATGGGACATGACATGATGTTGTAGAATGACGATATGGGCTTTGGAGAAGCAGTTGGGTCCATATCTGAGCTTCACAGTTATTTGACTTGGACATATACCCCGATTCTCAGTTTCCTCATCTGTGAAGTATGATTGTTAGAGTTGTTATGATGGAAGAAATGTGTATGTATTACACTGTATAAATTACATGTCATGGTATATGCAACATAGAGTAGCTATTGTAACTAGTATAAATTCTATTCTTATAGGAAAAATATTAAAAAAAATTTCTACATAACAGAAACTTTGTTAAAAGTTTGTAGCAGGTGTCAGTTAAGCAAAAATAACTGGGAATGTGTCTTGATTATAAGCAAGCCAGGTATAGTTAATGGAGACTTACGTTCTTCCTAAATATATCAATGAGATGCATATTTGCAGTATAATAAACTTTTTTAAAAATAAAAAAAGATTTGTTGAACCCAGAGTTACCTAGGGGCATTTGAGAAATAATTTGAGTTATCAAAATGTAATACGTATGAGATGATTCAGAAATATACTCATTATGCGTGAGAGTGCAGTCTTGTGAGTTGGGCACTTTATGTCTATGTTATGTCCTCCTGTGTTGTTGCACAGGGTCCTACAATTGTATTTCTCACTCCACAGATTCACCAATAAAGAGACACAAAGAGTATGAGCTGGTGACTCCAGTCAGCACAAATCTAGAAGGACATTATCTCTCTCATATTCTTTCTGCAAATCACAAAAAGAGGTCAACAAGGGACGTGTCTCCCAACTCTGAGCAATTGTTCTTTAATATCACGGCATTTGGAAGAGATTTTCATCTGCGACTAAAACCCAACACTCAGCTCATAGCTCCTGGGGCTGTTGTGGAATGGCAAGAAATATCTCCGGCGCCTGGGAATATAACCGACCCTGTTAATGATCGTCAACCAGGAAGTGCTTCTGAAAGAATCTGGAAAACGGAGCCTTTGCAGACCAACTGTGCTTACGTTGGTGACCTCATGGACATTCCGGGAACCTCTGTTGCCATTAACAACTGTGATGGTCTGGTAAGACTCATTCCCTCTTGTGTGTATATGTTTGTAGGTGTTTGGGAGTGTACCATGGCTCCAGCATGGTTTGGAAGGTAGAGGTGGAAAGGAAGCCTCATTATAATACTTTAAATTCAGGAGGAAGCAGTAGAACACATTTTACTGTCAAAGATGTGTGCTTTGGCTCAATTTTGACATGAAGACATTATTCCAAGAAACAAAAGACAGCTATTTTAATATTTTTTGCTTATGTCTTCACTTGTGTTACATTGGGGAATTTTATTTCCTTATTTCTTTCAAAGCATTCTGAAAACTTTCTAAAGAAACATAGATTCCTCCAAAATGATAATATTACACTTCTTATGTGGAAACTTTGGATATTTTCTTAAAGAAAGTATTTTGAAAGCATTTTTTCACGTCCCCACAGAATGCTAAAGTGGGAAATGAGCAGATCTGAATGTCACAATTTGTTCAAATAGCATTTTATGAACACAAGATGTAGTAGTTTCTGTATGGCAGCTTTGATTCATTTTTTCCTTTATCTTGAAGTAAAATACCCATATATTGCTCTTTAGTTTTATGGTTGAATCCAATAGTAACTGACCCCTCTTTGTACACTCTGCAGATGTGAAATATTTTTATTTGTATTGTATCCCCAGTTGTTATTTGAAAAGAGTGTCAATGTTTATGCCTTTTCTATCCACAGTTGACTCCAACTCTTTGTTTAAAAAAGAGCAACCATTTTTCCTTTCTATGGTTGCCAGGCTGCTGTTTCTTGGGAGTTCAGAGCTATTCCCTTTGTTTTGCCACTGCTTCTAAG